TGCAATCAGCAGTGGAGTCTAGTGCCTTAACCACAATGCTACCTGCCAGTGCCCTTCTTTAGAATTTCTAAATATATCACATATACATATATCAACTGAGTATTTAACAGCCTCTAAAAGGTGTTGCTCTAAGGCATTATACTATTAGGCCATCAGAAAAGTCATTATGCATTTTTGCATAGAAAAAATACATTATGACTTTTCCGATGACCCAATATATTTCTTGAGCAATTTGAAGAATGCCTACAACTTCTTTTTCTATGAAACAATACCACAATCATCATAAGATTAGAAAGAATGAGCCTAGGACAAATTAAAAAAAAAAAAAAAAAACTTTCCCAATGCAAATAGAGAAACTATAGACGGAGTCCTATTTCACTAAGAGTAGTAAGTGGGCTGAAAATATCTACTCCACAGTGGGGTCGGCCCAGCCACAGTGGTGAAGGTGGGAGCACACTGCTCTGTAGTGTTGGAAGAATTCACAGAACGAGAATTTGTAGGCATTTTTGAAATGGCAAAGAAACACGGAGTGATTGTGAGAGAGAAATGCTTTTACAATAAACATTGCTGGATCCCATGTTTTACATCTTTAATAGCTATATGTTACTGACTTAATAGCTTAGAGCAGTGTGCCCCAGAGTCTATCTGGTTAGGTCCCAAGTCCACTTGAAACACATCTGGCACACATGCACACCTAAGGTCCTGACTGGCTGAAGGACCAGGAAGACGATTGCGGAGTGTTGAAACCTTGTGAAGGAGTAAACGGGTATATGTGTGTGTGTGTGTGTGTGTGTGTGTGTGTGTATGTGTGTGTGTCATGAAAGAAAATAAACTTTAAAACATGGGTTAGATAGGGCCAGCAGGTGGCATGGTGGCTAAGATACTGGATTCCACATGGCCAGCTGAGTAGTTTAAGAATGAGACCTGGTGGCTTGAAAGACACGAGAACCAGCAGTTAGCGTAATGGCTATGTCGCTGGACTCCAATGTAGTCGACCGTGGTTCGCGTCTCGGACCCGGTGGCTTAAAACTCACGCCGGGCACGTGTGCGTGCGTGCCCAAGATCCTGAGAGGAGAATGGAGGAGAAGGGATTGTGGTGTGACCATCCCCCCTGGGGGGTGATTTCTCCCTTTCTGTCTCTCTGTCTCTCTCTCTCTGTCTGGCGAGTGCATGCACCCTATAGCGGGAACCTCTCCAAAAAAAAAAAAAGACACCAGCCCATGTGGATGGGGCATGGCTGTCCTTCCCCTGAGGGGCGATTTCTCATTCTCACTTTTTCTCTTTCTCTGATGACTGTATGCACCCTATGGGGGTGGGGGTGAGGGGGCTTATGTAAATTAATGACTAGAAAATTCATAACAGGTAATTATTAGAAAGTGAGAAATATTGAAGTCATATTTCATCCTTCAGCATTACACCAAAAAGAAAGACCAGCCCTAGGACCAGCAGGTGGTGTAGTGATTAAGGTGCTAGATTCCCACATGGCTGACAGTGGTTCGAGTCCTAACCCAGTGGCTTGAAAATCACACTGGGCATGTGAGTATAAGCACCCAAAATCCCAGGAAGAGAATGGAGAAGGGATTGCAGCATGGCTATCTCTCAAAGGGATGATTTTTCATTTTCCCTCTCTCTGTCTCTCTGATGAGTGTGCACCCACCCTATGGCAAAAATAATAATAATAATAATAAATAATAAATAAACAAATAAAAATAAAGGCCAGTTGTTTCTACAATGACTTTGATAAAATACTGAATCCTGACCAGATGACTTAAAAATCAACTCACATATTTTGTTTCCCACAAAAGAGAATTTACAGTGACTTTCTCCTTAAACTTGTTTCTTGTTCTTTTTTCTTCATTCATTTGGTCAGTATTTGTCAAGACCCTACTATGGGCCAGCAGTTCTTGGATCTTATTACCCTGTCATATTATCCAAAAGAAAGAATTATAGGGGGCTGGAAGCAGAGAAGTGGAGCACATTTCATAATGTTTTCAAAATCTGTTGTAGGACTAGGTGGTGGTACAGCAGAAATACAATTGGCCCTTCAAGAGAAAAATCCTGAGTTTGCATCCCCAACCTCTCTGTGGGTGCCAGTCATGTGCATGTGAGCCTAAGACATAGGCCAGCTGACACTGGGGCAGGATCAAGGTATGAAGACCCTATTGGGAGTGACTATCTCTCCTTCTCTCTCTCTCTCTTTTCTCTGCCTCTTTCTCTTTGTTGCTCTCTCTGTTTTTCCCTCATAGAAATAATAAACAAATAAAACTTTAAAAAATGTTGTAGTCTGTGTGTGTGTGTGTATAGAACAGGTCTTCAAAAACTTCAATGAAAATGCAGATTGTGAAAAAGCTATGCACAAATTTTAAAATTTCTGCAACAAAATAAATTGTACTCTAATTCCACTTTGCCACAAACTTTTTGAACTTCCCTCATAATTTTCATCATATCTGACCCGTCACTAAAACATACTTGAGGTTGTTACATACCATCTGAGGTCACAAAAAATTACCTTATGAATTTCTGATATAATTAATTTTTTTTTTAAATAAGCCATTACTTTTAGCATATACAATGGCACAGGGCTTCAATCCAAAGTTCATTTACAGTTTTACAAGTCATTGCAATAAGCTTTCAATTTTTAGAATTGTATTTATTTTTTAATAAAAATTTCTTTTTTTTTTTTTTTGGCTATAGGGCACTTGCAGGAGAAAGAAAGTGGGAAATTGGGACCAGCAGGTGGCATGTGGTTAAGGTGCTGGACACTCCCACATGGCCGACCAGGGTTCAAGTCCTGAATCTGGTGACTTGCTTTCTCACTTTCTCACTTTCTCTCTCTCTCACTCTCACCCTCTGTCTCTCTCTGGTCAAACTAAATAAATAAATAAATAAATAAACAAATGAATAAAATAAAATAGATAATTATTTTAAAAAAGAAAAAAAAATTGAGAAATCACTCTTCGTGGGGGTTGGCCATGCCACAATCCCCTCTCTTCCATTCTGCTCTGGGGATTTTGGGCACACATACACATACCTAGTATATTTTTCAAGTAACTGGGTGGTCTGGGACTCCAACTGCTGAGTCAGCCATGTGGGATCCAGCTACTTTAACTGTCCTGCCAATTTTTAGATTTTAAATGAACACAAATTCTTCTTGATCAAGGCAAATTTTACCACTATAACAATCAAGAGTTTTCTCCAACTTGTTCATCAAGTTATGTAATAGGTCAGCTGAGTCTCCGGCTGAAAACTTTGTCCATTAATTCACAACTAATTTCTAGGAATGAAAATATAAGTGATAGGCCAGCAGATCTCATGTGTTCGTTAGAGAAAAAACTTTGAACTCATTTATTGAGTTATAAATATTTACTTGTTGGGTTTTCTATTAGGTTATGAGCAAACTCAGGGGAAGGATGAGGTCTTCTTTATGTGCCCATTTGAAAAGCACAGGTTATATGGCAATTTCTGGGTGATTTAGGGGGAAGATTGGATGGATAAAAGAAGAAATGTTCAGAGTAAGAGTCACTATCAACATGAGTATAGTCTTTAAGACTCTTTTTCCTCAACCCATTAGCTAAAAACACAAGTATTAAAATTTTAAAATATCAATTGCGTGGCCAGTAGATTATGAAAAATAATATTGGATCATCAGAAAAGTCATGATGTGTTTTTCTGTTTTTTTTTTTTCTTAGGCAAAAATGCATCATGGCTTTTCTGATGACCCAATACATTTTTGTATAATATAAACTATAATGAATTTAGCTCCCATTTTGTTGTAGCCTTAATTTGTGCCTATCATTACTCTAGGCCCTGAGGTCTAAGGACAAATAAGGTCTGTGTATAAAAAGAGAAAGCAGATGCCACTGAATTCATCTGAATTCTTCATCATGTCAAAGAGTCATTAAACTATGAAAACCAGAGGTGTGCATCCCTTCTTGAGAATGTGTTTCCTTCCCTAATGAGAAGAAATGACAAAAAATCAGCTTTTTCAAATGTACTAAGATTATACCATGGTTTATATTTCATGCTTAGAAAATCCGATATTCTTATACAAAGTAAACACCCTCGGCGACACTGTTGTTGGTTCTGGAGTCAAATACGAAGAGGGTGGAAAGAAAGAATGAAATCAGAAACGTTACAGAATAGAGAAAGAGAAAAAAATCCCATGAACTAAATCAGAAGAAAGTATTGCACAGTGTCTCTCTAATATTCATCTAGAACACTGGACCATAATCAGCTACTGATCTGTGGCAAGTAGCTGAGAATGGCCCAGAAATGCATGACCCCATTAGGCACATACTTTGCGGGAACTGTCAGTAAAAGGAAAGCGTGCAGAAATCCTCTGGATAAGCTTATGGGCAGGCTGACAGCTTTAATAAGCGAAAACTAAAAGCCTGTCATCAGTTGTTCCTCCTGGTGAAGCAGATCCTTCAGGGCACTTACCAGCTGGCAAGAAGATGCAACTTTTCCCAGACACTAATAACCTGGTCTGGAAGGTTCTTGTGTTTCACCTTAGCAGATATTACCTTTAGTTCTTAAGAGAGTCAGTCCTCACCTGAACAAGCATAAGTAACAAATCAAGAAAACCTGGTCACTTTCGGACCAGCAGTTAGCGTAATGGCTATGTCGCTGGACTCCCACGTAGTCGACCGCAGTTTGAGTCCCGGACCCGGTGGCTTAAACTCACGCCGGGCGCGTGTGCGTGCGTGCCCAAGATCCCGAGAGGAGAATGGAGGAGAAGGGATTGCGGCGTGGCCATCCCTCCTGGGGGGTGATTTCCTGCTTTCTATCTCTCTGTCTCTCTCTGTCTGGCGAGCACACGCACCCTATAACAAAAACCTCTCAAAAAAAAAAAAAAAGAAAAAAGAAAACCTGGTCACTTTAGAGACTAGTGATTGTTCTCTAAAGTAAATAACAAATGTTTCTTTAATGAATGAAAGACATGGTGAGGTCCTGTAGCCTGCATCCATCCCATTCCACCAGGTCACTGGAGTTCCACTTACCCCCAACATCTGGTGGAGGTAATGATACTCTGGACCTCGGTTATACAGCAGGAAGGTTTTCCAGAAAAGCAGGACATTCAGGGAGAGCCAGATGAGCTAAACCAATCAGACAAAGGGAGAGAGACAGAGAGCGAGAGAACAAAAATTAGAAATAATCTTGATCTGATGAATGGAGCCCACAAAGATACTTCCTGGACACAGAACTTTCAATGGTACCTCAATTAGTAATTGCAAAAAGAATCCTTAAATTAACTAACAAGCAGAAAACCAGCCCCCAGGAACACCAGCCTGAGCTGACCCGCCCCTTCACCTGAGATTAAGCGTTTGGGTTGCAAAGAAACCTCATTGTTCCATAGACAACCCAGCAGTACAAAAACGACACTAAGTTATTAGAGACATACCATGTCCCAAGCAACCAGAAGCAATCTGGGAAAAGACAAAGGGGGCAAAATGTGTAAAGGGTTAAGAAGAAGCTGCGTGCGATTAAAGTGGCCTCTTCTCCCTTCCTCCACCTCTGCTCTCCCATCAGTGCGAGGAGAATTCCCCTTCCTCCGGGGGAAGGGAGGGATCTGCGTTATCTCCAGGGCTTAACCGCAAGTTCTGTTAGTTGAGAACTTTCGAATAAAGAGTCAGAACTTCTTCCAACTTCCCACCCGCACATGCTCAGAGAATGAATCCAAGTCGCTGCAGGAGAGACCTAACGCGAGGAGAGCCTAGCCCGCCATCCTACCAGGCAGAGGTGTTTAACCCC